AAAAAAAAAAAAAAAAAAAAAAAAAAAAAAAAAAAAAAAAAAAAAAAAAAAGAAAAAAACAAAACAAAACAAAACAAAAAAAAAACAATCCCATACCACAAAAAAACAATGGCTTAAAAGACCTCATAAGCATGGGCTGGCAAACACTACTGTTTAACATTCTACCTGATGAACAGAATTAGTTATTAAACTAATCACATACTTCTTTAGAATACAGGTTTTATATTATTGGGTCTTATGTTTGTTTAGCTGATACTGAAAATACATTTGTGAACATGCTGTTTAACTCCCAAAAATTAGAAAATAATTTTTAAATTACTGGAAAGAAAAAGATAGGTTTGCTATCTTGTAAAACTTTTTGGCCTCTGTGAAGCTGGGGCGTATTTGTGCAGTGGCTTTATTAAATACTCTAATTCTTAATATTGTGACACTCTGCAATAAGAATTAATCTCTCAAAAATGGATTTACAGTATAACTGCCACCTGCTCCATTGGAGCAGTTTCAGTTAAAATAAGTACATCATTTGCCTCTTTGTCCTAAAACTGCCTAAATAAAGAGGCAGGGGGTGGGGAGATGTTTCTCTCCTTGAAGCAACAACAGAAATTTTGTTTCCAGTAAGGGAAGGGATAGTCTGTGTCTAAGGCAGATAGTCTGTATGTTTACCCACCTAAAAACATGGTGTTTCTGATACAGTTTTTTCCTTGAGTGTTTGTTTTAAGTAATTAAATGCAAAAAGTGTGTTTGGTAAATTAATTTTGAGACATGCAAAATCCAAGAAATGTACAGTTATTCTTAACCCTTTATCTTGAACCAGTGCTGTGGTGCCTTTGGTGTGACTTTTTCCCTGGAAGGATGACTTGAGGATAACAGGATATGGGTACAAATTTATATTTCTTGAATTTCTCTGTGTCACAATCTTAGCATTATTTAAATCTAGTTCTTTGTATTTGTAATTGTATTTAAATGGTTTGAGTTTACCAAAGAGTGACTTATCCAAAATTGTCTCAGACAAAAGCAAACAAGAAAACAACATCGTGTTGATTGTACAGGTTCAGGTTCAGACCATTGTAACAGACTGTTAAGGGGCAGGAAATGATCCGTTTTTCTCCAGCCCGTGACCCAGCAGTGTGGGGCAGCGCTCTTGCCTCCAAGCCATAGTGCAGCTCTGTGGGGCAGCAGCGCCGGGCTCGGGCGGCGCCCCGGGCGCAGCACCCCTGGCAGCAGCAGTGCCACTGTGCCTTGTCACATAGCGGGCTGCCAGGACCAGCACTGTCACCGACACCGGGCGTGACCCGGTGGACTTTATGGCACCAGCCCACCGAGCAGGAGCCCGTCACTTTAGCAAAGGGTGGAAACACTGTACGGTGTTGCGTGTCTGTGCAGTTCTCAGCACAGAGCTGTTACACATTTCATTTACAATAAATGCAGAAGTCAATAGAATATGTGAAGAAATATTTGACAGCAAAATAAGTAGTGAAATTATACAGGTTGGTTCATAATTGAGTCTCTTCTTAATCTACCTTTTTAATTCTAGACAAATGTGAAAACAGTGACAGTGTCCTTTCCTCTAGATGCTTAATCTATTCTGACAAACTGTGAAAATAAAGGATTTTATACCTTTGCTAATGTTTCTGGTTTAAAACTATTATTTTAGTTTTCTTTGTCAGTTATCTTCCATATTACTTCTTTTAAACTTGTAAATACATTTAGAAAATAACTTTGTAAATACTTACAGGTTATTAAAAGTTCCGTTTGGTCACTAAGGCCTCAAGATCGGCTCTGCTTTTTGAGTGTGAAATCTTTCTGTAGCATAAAGGATACTGTCAGTTCACTGTCAGCAGGATAGACTGTAGGCCTAAATTGAGAGTTTTAATGCGGTCTTCCCCAGCATAAATTCATGTTTTATGCTGAAGCCTTTGGTTTAGTTTAGACAAAACAATGAGGCCTCTTAATATGTTTAGGCTGAATTATGGGAAGAACAACAGGAATAAAATCAAGGGCTGGGAAAATATTGAATAAGCTTTACTGTTAAATATATATATATTATTTTAATTTTTGTATTAGTTTACTGTGATTCTTTTATTATCATTTTTCTAAAAAGGTTTTACATGAAACCATTGAAAGGGACTCAAATATGCAACACCTAATCTATTTTCCAAGGGAATTTTACCCTTGAATGGTGCTTTTTGACTGGTCAGGGTTATTTATTAAATTTTATATTTGAAAGTATTTGGGGAATTATGTAAATTCTTTATATGAATCTCTTTATTTCATGAATTGTAAATTTCATAATACTCAGTGATCAAATTGGAAGTTTAGTAAAGTCATTCAAAATGTTCAAACTTTATAATCTGTGTGCATTTTACATATATTTTATCAAGTGCCAGAATACTTGTATTTAATATTGTAGATTTAATACTACTTGCACATCCCTGTGGCAGCATTAAGTTACACAAGTTTACATTAAAAAAAAAAAAAAAAGCTAAACAAATAAGTAAGCCTGGGACATGTGTTCCTGTATTTCTTCAGGGGATGTGAAGCCACGTATCACTGACTGGGCAGGTTTGCTTCCTGCTTCTGTAGCTCACTCCTGCGATGGCAGATGCAGAACTGCTGACTCCCATTCCCACAGGCCAGGGATGCAGCCTTTGAACTCAGCCTGAGAACCTCTGGTTGTAGATCTGGTTAGAGGTAGAGCTCTTGCACGATTTTAACAGTGTTTGTTTCTGACTGAAAATTTGTATTTTTAAATAAATTTTATTTGTATGGTTATTTTTCAAGATAAATAATTGAACAGTTTGAATGACTTGACTTGGTGTCATTATCTTGCAATATAAACCGGGAACCTCACACCTCCGCACTTCATCGCCACGTGAAGTAAATGAAGCTAGCTAAGCTGATGCTGTAAGAATGAGTAACTTGCCATTAAGGATTATTTTACAGCATGAACTTTAAAATATTTATTCAAATGATATTTTACTCTTGTATTCACTTTGTTTTTAGATTTGTGACATGAATATTTCTGTGCTGCTTTATTTGGTTCTGATGAATTTGTTTCTTGCTTGTAAATTGCCTTTTTTATGGTATAAAGTCAATCGGAATTGCTGTTTGTAAATTAAAATGCTTCTAGAGCAAATCTGTGGTGTCTGTCTACATTTAGATACTTGATTACTGAGGAGCTTGCACTTTAGATGCTACTACTGAAGTGTTAAAAGAAGTATTGTAATACTGATCTACCAACTAGAAGTCAAAAGTCTTTAGAGACAACTACTCTTGAAGTTTCTCTGTTTTGCCAGCATTAATTGCTTAGTTCTGAACAGATGATCATTTGAGTTGTGTACTCCAACACCTCATCCAACTTTCAGAGCAAAACAAAAATCCAGCCAGGTGGTGGCAATCCATCCATGCCATTCCAAGACTGGTCTGTTGAGGAGGGATACCCTGCTTCATTCCTCCAGCAGCATTTACATTTTATGTTCTGCTGCATATAACAGTACAGGTGATGAAAGTGTAGGTACACTCCTCCTCACCCACAACGTTGAATTTAACAGGAGCAGCCCCAGTGTAGCTGTAGGCCATGGATATCTTGACTGGCAGTGGGATTTGGAGGGACTGGAGTTGAGTGGGTTAGTCCCTGAGTCCCTGTTGGTGTCAGAGTACCTATTCCAGCAAAACTTCCCTTCAAAGCCCCTTCCTATAAGGTATGAAACTTCAATTAATGCAGAATGGGGTAAACAAGACCTGACTGTTAGGAGTGGGATAAACGTACAGTTGCGCCAGTATCCAGGCCACTGAGATATGATCAGGTGTCTGGAGCATCTCTGCTGTGGAGCCAGGTTGGGAGAGCTGGGGGTGCTTACCTGGAGAAGGCTCTGGGGAGACCCCAGAGCCCCTTCCAGCACCTAAAGGGGCCCCAGAAGAGCTGGGGAGGGACTTCGGACAAGGGCCTGGAGTGCTTCCCACTGCCAGAGGGATAGTGGGAAGGTTACTTAGTTGGGATAGTGGGAAGGAATTGTTCCCTGTGAGGCTGGCAAGGCCCTGGCACAGGGTGCCCAGAGCAGCTGTGGCTGCCCCATTCTGTAGTGTCCAAGGCCAGGCTGGACCAGGCTTAGAGCAACCTGGTCCAGTGGAAGGTGTCTCTGGCCATGGCATGGAGGTGGAATGAGATGAGCTTTTAAGTCCCTTCCAAAGCAAATCATTCTGATTCTATGAGTGTTCTGAAATACCTGAATTTTTCTCATCCTAGCTGGCACATCCGAATTCACCATCAAGGGGAAAACGGACCCAGAGATTGAATACTTGTTTAAAAAGTACTATGAAATACCAATTTCAGCAAAGCAGTATACAGAAGACAAACATTTTGTGAAAAAGCTTTGTTAAGATGGCTAAGAAAAAAAATTGGTTTAGGTTAAAAAGAACCAGGTCTGTTCACCCGATCTTTGTGTACATGCAGACACAGACCCCATTGCTTAACTTTTCGTAATGCAAACTTCGTGAAAACAAGTTGAGGGGAAGGTAGAATAGCCAATGAACATGGTATACAGAATTTATACTTCTCCAGCAATAATTGTGCAGAGAAAATGAAGCCAAATCACATGGATGATACATTTCAAGAGCTATATGAAATAGCATAGTACATTTGTATTGTGCATCGGTTTAGGAAAAAATTTAATTGAGTACTATGTCAAAAGTCAGTTGAATTATAGACAGAAACATTTCATTAAAATTTAGGGAAATTATATGGCTGATGACATTGTCTAAAGTAACATTACGTGTCCATGCATTTTTTTCCACCAGAGGGTGCTGGCTGATTTTAAAAATATGTTTTGTAGGGGTCATTTAAGGCGCTGTACATAGCAGAAGCCTAAAATAGGAACAAAAGAGTTCCCAGTCCTCCTTATGACACCTTCATGAGGAGCAGGTGCTGGGTGATTCCATCGTTAGCAGAGCAGTGGTTATACCCTTTTTCAGAGGCTGCCCGGCTGTGCTGCATGAGACCTACCTGGGCAGTGAACACCACCATTTTACAGTACTTTAAGCATCAGCTTGGTATTTCTGTCAGAATCTCATAACCTGCCCGGCGGTTCGGGAGCCCTGCCTGGACCCCCGGGCTCGCCCCCGACCCCCGGCCTCGACCCCGACCCCGGGCTCTCCCCCGACCCCCGGGCTCGCCCCCGACCCCGGGCTCTCCCCCGACCCCCGGGCTCGCCCCCGACCCCGGGCTCTCCCCCGACCCCCGGGCTCTCCCCCGACCCCGGGCTCTCCCCCGACCCCCGGGCTCTCCCCCGACCCCGGGCTCTCCCCCGACCCCGGGCTCGCCCCCGACCCCGGGCTCTCCCCCGACCCCCGG